GAGACGCGTGACAGTAGGACTGGCAGCACGAAGGGAGTCAGACCCCGGGTCAGCAACAGCAGGAAGAGAGGACGCAGGAGGAGACGGCAGTGGGACACGCGGCGGAGCAGTGGAAGGACGAACGCCATCCGGTGAGTGCCCAGGACAGCAGGAAGACGCTGACTAGGAACACGACCACCAGTGAGAGCAGCACGGACAGGCGACGCACGGCGAGACTCAGGCGACGCAGGACGAGACTCAGGCTCACGACGCTCAGTAAGACCTCCAGTCGGACCAGTGTAAGGAGCAGGACCAGGGAGAGAGGAGGCAGACTGAGGACACCCTAAGGAGGGAGGAGGACAAGGAGGAGGAAGCTGACCAAGAACCTACTGAAGGAGCGGAACGAAGTACGGCCGCTGCCGCGCAGCGACTCCAGAACCAGCAGAGACACCAACGCCAGAGTCCTCAGTACCAGCAGCAGCTCCAACACCAGGGTCCACAACACCAGCCGTAGCTCCAACTCCAAGGTCCGCAGCACCAGCGGCAGCTCCAACGCCCGGGTCCTCAGCACCAGCACCAGCTCCAACGCCCGGGGCCTCAGCACCAGCAGCAGCTCCAACGCTCGTGTCCGCAGCACCAGCAGCGGCTCCAACGCCCGGGTCCTGAGCACCAGCAGTAGCTCCAACGCCCGGGGCCTCAGCACCAGCAGCAGCTCCAACGCCCAGGTCCGCAGCACCAGCAGCAGCTCCAACGCCCGGGTCCGCAGCACCGGCAGCAGCTCCAACGCCCGGGTCCGCACCACCAGCAGCAGCTCCAACGCCCGGGTCCGCAGCACCTGTAGCGGCTCCAACGCCCGGGTCCGCAGTACCAGCAGCAGCTCCAACGCCCGGGTCCGCAGCACCAGTAGCAGCGGGGTCCGTGAGACGAGGCGCGCCACTCCGAAGCGTGCAGCGCCGCTCGTACGACTCACGGATCCGCTCACGGGAGGGGAGCTCCCGACTAGGAAGAGAAGTACCAGCACCAGTCCCTGTAGTGCGCCTGGCTCCAGAGGTACCTCTCCGAAGGCTGTAGTACTGTAAGTACCACTGACGCAGCTGCTCCGAGGAGAGGCCTCGTCCAAGTGTAGGACCCTCAGGCCCAGCACCTCCAAACTCAAAACCCCCACGCCCCGCACCCCCAGGCTCAGCACCCCCAGTCCCCGCACCCGCAGGCTCAGCACCCCCAGACTCAGCACCCCCAGGCTCAGCACCCGCAGGCTCAGCACCCCCAGGCTCAGCACCCCCAGGCCCCGCACCCCCAAGCTCAGCACCCCCAATCTCCGCACCCCCAGGCTCAGCACCCCCAGTCTCCGCACCCCCAGGGTCAGCACCCCCAGTAGGACGAGAGTCGACAGCAACCTTAACAGGCTCAACCGAGTCTACCTGAGACACATCTCAGGGAGCGGCACCCTGAGGGGGGAGGGGGTCTACGACAGCAGCACCTGGCGCGAGGAAGAGAGGCGGGGGGGGGAGCGGGGCAGTGCGGTAGGGGAAGAGGCGGTAGTAGGGGACAGACTCGTCAAAAGTGACGTCCTGAGAGGGCAAGACCCGGCGCGAGGTGGCGTGGTAAAACTGCCAACCAGGCGCGTCCGGGACAAAGCCGAGGAAGACGTAGGGAACAGCACGAGAGGAGAGCTTGTCCGCAGACGTATCGCGGACAAAAGCTCGAGATCCCTAGACCCGGAAACGCGACGCATCGCCAACCTCCCCTGTCCACAGCAATGTGGGCGAGGTCTCCGGCAAGGAGACACGGGGCCAGAGGTTGAGCTGATGCGCAGCGTACCTGACCGCAAACGGCCACAGAAAGTGGGGGGCAGCCGCATGGATCAAGGAGGTACGGGCGACCTCCATGACCAGGCCAATGGGGCGCTCCGCAACCCCATTCTGCTGTGGAGAGGCCGGGAGCGTGAACGACTGCTCAATGCCGTGCTCAGCACAGTAGGCTGCCAAGAGGTCGGAGGAGAACTCACCACCTCTGTCAGAGTGCAAGCGCAGGACAGGAAAGTCCGAGCGGAAACGCTCGCTGAGCTGGAGACGGGCTCTGCGGATCCAAGGGATGAAGACATCAGGGACCTCACCCTTGGTGCGCAAGGGGAAGACCGTGGTGTAGCGCGAGTAGTCGTCAAAAACTATCAGGAAGTACCTCTCCTGACCCTGACCACGGACGCGGGCTGGGCCCCACACGTCCATGTGGAGCGTCTGCAACGGAGCAGTCGTCGGGGGAAACGAGGAGGAGTGAGGAGCGGCGCGCTGCCGCCCCTCGACACAGGGAAGACAGGGAGGAGCAGGCGAGGGTGGGAGGGGAGGGAGGACCCTGGGAAGACCAGAGACAAGGTACCGGGAGTGCATGGCACGAAGGCGCTGCACAGACGGGTGGCCAAGTCGGTGGTGCCAGAGGACAGTCTCGTGCACTAGAGAGCGACACGAGCAGGGGGCAGACAGCTAACCTGACGCGGACGCAGACGCAGACGCAGCGACCTGAGGGGAGGCAGTAGTCAGTGTGTACAGGTCCGACCCCGGCTGCCGGGTGAAGGTAGCCAAGTGGCGGCCTGTACGAGCACACGTGCAGTGTGTGACACACTCGTAGGCAGGGGTGAACTGGTGAACACCCCCGTCCTGGAGTGCACAACCTGCCACCAAGTTCGTAGAGAACGAGGGGAGGTGGAGACCTAACAGTGTGCCCGACGGGACCGCAGGACAGGGAAGGACAGTGGAGGAGGTCGCAATGACCGGACCCCCAGAGGGGTCAGCGAGGGAGACAGCTACTGGCCGAGCAAGTGGCTCAAGGGCAGTGCGGTCACGAAAGAAACAGCGAGAAGCACCTGAGTCCAGCGTGAAGGTATGCAGTGCTGCAGTCCACACAGTACTAGGTGGGGCAGACGTACAAGCACCTAGAGCAGCAGCCTCACCAGCACCTGGGGTAGGGGACACGCAAGTACCTGAAGCGGCAGACGCACTAGTCCTAATGCCCGGGTCGGGCGGGACACACAGGTACTCAGCACCCTCTCCACTAGTAGACATCACATACATAGCACTCAGAATAGCATAGATATCAATCCCCTTCTTCTGGAGATCAATCCAGCGGGGCAGCTCAGTGGCCTGAGGGAACTGAACATGCCAAGCGTCGTTCAGACGAGCAAAGCAACGCTGTGTGGCGTGCGGTCTCCCCCCCCCCCCCCCCCCGTGCTGAGAGTACCACTCACGGACCTCCTGGGGCGACGGAGTGTGCTGCTGGCCCTGGCCACCGCCAGTGCCTCCACGACCACCACCGCCGCCACCACCTCCTCGACCACTCCAACCCCTGCCGCCGCCGCGTCTACCGCCACCCCCACCACCTCCTCCGCCCCGGCCACCTCCCCCGCCGCTGCCGCCACCCCCCCCACCGCCGCCACCTGCCCCTCCAGTCGCACCACCACCCCCGCCGCCACCACCTCCCCCACCACCGCCTCCCCCGCTGTCACCGCCACCGCCCTTGCTCCCTGTGCCCTTGCCGCTGCGGCGCCCGCTCGAAGCAGACGCAGTCCCGACCTTCTCAGCACCAAGGAGGTCGACAGCAGCAGCAGAGGCGACAGAGGGAAGAAGGGGGGAGGGAGAACACCCCTCAAAGAACGGGTTACGGGTGCGCCACGAGAGGCACCTACAGCGACTATGCTAGCCTCAGCTGCAAGGAGTTCCTTCTCGAGGAGGGCAATGGTGAGCTCAGTGGGGCAGCGAGCTAGGAAGTGGTCCCTGACTGAGCGCAGAGTGTCTGGGAGGCGCGTGACTAGGTGGTAGAGAGTGAGCCAGAGCGGGGGTGGGTTCGTGGCAAGGAACTCATCAGGCATAGCGGCGCGGAAGCGAGCCTCACTAGTGCGGAGGTGGGTAATGAGGTCAGCGACTGTGTGGAAAGAGGCTAAGTCGGGGAACAGGTAGGGAAGAGAGAGACGACCTTGTGCGGCAGAGGCCGGTGAGGAGTAGCGGGCAACGACAGCAGTGTACAGTGCCTGCGTAGTCTTGTGCTGCCCAAAGTGCTCGCGCTCATCTATCGGCAGAGAGTTGCGAATAGCGAAGCGAGCGTGGGCGTCACGAGTCTGCCACTGTGAGTGTACAGTGAGATGTCTTCCTTGGCAGTGAGCTGTAGGAAGAGGTATAGGTCATCAAGCCAGGTGTCGAACTTCACTGGGCGGCCCTCAGCATCGAAAACTAGCACAGGAGGGCTAGCCATAGCAGTAGTAAGAGTAATAGTAGCAGCAGTAGGAAAAGCAGTAGGAGCACCCAAAGGGCAAGTAGGGTGGCTCGGCTCGGTAAGGGCGGCGCGGCTCGGTACAGGTAGGGCAGCGCGGCTCGGTAAGGGCGGCGCGGCTCGGTACGGGTAGGGCAGCGCGGCTCGGTAAGGGCGGCTCGGTTCGGACTGGGCGGCTCGGTTTGGGCTGCTCGGTTCGGGCGGCTCGTTCTAGGTGGGGCCGTTTGGGGCCTCTAAAGGTGAGCGCGGGGGCGGGTGGGGCCGATCGGGGCCTCTAGGGACGGGCGCGGGGCCGACGTGGGCCTCTAAGGGCGAGCGTGGGGCCGATCGGGGCCGTTAAGGGCGAGCGCGGGGCCGAACGGGGCCGCTAAGGGCAAGCGCGGGGCCTCTCGGGGCCTTAGGGACGAGCGCGGGGCCGATCGGGGCCTCTAGAGGCGAGCGCGGGGCCGTTCGGGGCCTCTAGGGGCAAGCGCCGGGCCGTTCGGGGCCTCTACGGGCGAGCGCGGGGCCGATCGGGGCCTCTAGGGGTAAGCGCGGGGCCGTTCGGGGCCTCTAAGGGCGAGCGCGGGGCCGATCGGGGCCTCTATGGGCGAGCGCGGGGCCGATCGAGGCCTCTAGGGACGAGAGCGCGGGGCTGACGGGGCCTCTAGGGGCGAGCGCGTGGGCCGTTCGGGGCCTCTAGGGGCGAGAAAATGGAGGCGCCCTAGGGCGTAGGTAGGTAGGCAGGTAGGTAGGTAGTGGTGGGCCCTAAAAAATCGGTCCTAGGAAGGACCTGCTTTATACCATGTTGAACAAGAATGGATGAACTAACAGTGAAATGAGTACAAATAGGAAACCCTAGAAATGTGTACCCCCTATAGGCTAACCCACTGTAGCCTAAATAACGACAACAACATATATAATGTTTGACACACCTTCATCCCGGCGTCAAGAGGCAAATTGACGCCGCGCGCTTTGAGTTTGGGGCCGCCGACACAGCAGTCCCCCCAGAAGGCGAGGTTCTCGATCATGACACGGGCGATCAGATCGACGTGGTCGCGCTCGTCGCCGTCCTCAGGTAGCGACCTCAGCACAGCGCCATGCAAGTCCTTCGTCACCGTGTCGGCGACCTCTTCTACGCCGACCTTCCGGGACGACACCCGTTGAAGCACCACCTCGATGACGCTCTTACACCTCTTCGCGAACTCTTTGGACGCTCCGCGCACGGTTGCTGCCGCCCCCCCTTCACCGGCCGCTACTTCCGCCGTGGCATTGGTCTCCGAAAAACACCACACCGCGCACGCAGTACCGGCAAGGATCTCGGACAACCGCTCCGACCCAACGCCCGGAATGGGCGTCACTTTCGCGGCCACAGGTGCGAAGGCGGCACACATCAAAACGTGTGCGATCATGCCGCTCGCCACCTTGTTCTTCGCGGCCTTCTCGGGCTCGGTCGACTCCGGAAGGTCGCCGAACCACACCGCCGGGCGAAGAGCCAACATGAGAGCTGCGCGGTCAGCGCCGGTTATCCTGTTGTATTCCGCGACCACCTCTTGGAACCTGTGAAACACAGCAGGAAGACCCACCGTCACCGACCGACCCATGCGTACCGACCGAAACGAGCACCTAATTGAGCATTCGCCGAGCTTACCTGTCGCGGAAGACGTTCGCCCCTCGGCTCCACATGACCGTCCACATGCCCCCCGGAATCAATCGCGCCACATTCCAGTCCGCCTTATACTGCGCCATCACATCCTCCTTGACCCCACCGAACTCGTTCAGAATCACGTCGCTGACGAAGCCGTCGTACGACGAAACGGCGACAGCGATGCAGTAGGCGACCTCGGACTTGTCCATCGACCGGCAGATGTAACGGCTCTTCTTCCCAAACTTTATCTCCGACGTGGCCAGCCTCGTTGAAGCCTCAACGCAGACGCCTGAACCCTTCCGACCCTGCGCAACCGCTTTGGACATCCCCTTGGAAGAGCCGGCCTTCGCCGGGCCGCCCTTCGCCTTGTCCTTGCCCTTGCACTTGTGCTTCCCGTCGCCGACCTCACCGGTCGTGGCCGGGGGGGGATTTGGCGCCAGCCGCGATATGGTCCTCCGCAGGAGCAGTTGAGGCGGCGGGTGTACCCTGTTGCGCTCCCACGGTGAGAGCTGCTGCTTGTAGTTTTTCCCGCATGACCTCGATTTCCCGGTCCGGCATCATGATGCTGGCGAGGATCTCTTCGTCCACCCCGCCGGCCTCTTCCACCACTCTCCACACAGCCGCCTCCACCGTTGAGGCACTCGGCCCTGCAGTTGCCGCTGTGACGTTCGCTGCCTCTGCTCCTTGGTCGACCGCCTGGTTGCTGAGAGTCGGAGGAATTACCGGGGTTTTCTGACCCTGATCCTCGAGCCATTTCAGATACCCGCCGAATGATGGCTTTCAAGTGATTAGAGCCTCGACCGCCCGAAACTCAACAGCCTTTGGGATCGGGATCGGTTCCGCGGCGACCATGGCCCCATGAACGGGTAAGCTAGCCGCACCGGCAGTGCCCGTGGTGAGCGGAGGCGGGTTCGCTGGACTCGTCGCGGTATGGGGATGTTGGCCCGCCCCGGCCTGCTGGACATGCTGTCCGACCACCGCTGCTGGGCGCAAGAGCATCTGCCACACCTCGCAACAGCAGGACGTCGTCCTCATGTCGTCTACACTGTGCAGCAGTAGCTGTCAAGTGCAGGGCCCGCACGGTGGGCAGCCACTGCGAGTTCATGAATTCCAGGGTGGAGCCGCGATAGCTCACCGCCTCCTGCACGACCGCCCTCATAGCGTCCACCGCCGTTTGGAGGCTCCTCCCCGACGTCTGCTCGTGAGAGGTCACGCTCTCGGCGACCGTCGAGAGCTTGTTCACGGCCGCGGTGACCACGCCGAAAAGCGCGTCAATCCGGGCCGTCTGGTACTCCAACCTCTTTTCCGCCACCAGCTTCTCCTCCGTCAGCTTCTTGTTCTCCCTCTCCGCCGCCTTCATACGATCAGCAGCCGCCTTTAACGCAATCCTAGTCGGGGTCGAGCCACTGCTGCCCCGCGCCTTCTTGCCCGACTTGTGTCCGCTGCCGCCGCTCTTATCCGCAACCTTCTCACCGGCGAACTGTACTGCCCCTACTTTGCCGGTGACAACCACGTTGTCCTCCTCACGCTCCTTGTCCTCCCCCTCCTCGTCCGAGCCCCTGTCCTGCTCCCCGCCCCCCTCCCCGTCCTCCCTCTCGTGCTCCTCCTCGCCGCCATCTGTGGGCCCGTGCCCGCCAGAGTGCGACCCCGCCGCAGCCTCCTCGGCCTCCCCACCCAGAGCGATGCCGGTTCCGATGCCACGACCCACGGTCGACGCCGCCTCCCGTGAGTTCGACGCGGACTTCTCCACGTGCTGCACCAGCTCCAGTCGGAGCGCCTTCAAGCCGACCAGCTTCGGGTTCTCGACGATGAGCGGATCGTAGCTGCAATGCACGTCGTCCAGATGCTCCAATGACCACGCTAACGCGTTGACCGCCAGCAGCCCCTTGCCGGCGACCTCCTGCCTGAGGATGTCGGGCAATTTCTGCATCAACATCCCAAGCACATGGCGACGACGACAAGGGTAAGTCGACGCCTCGACGACGATAGCCCAGGCGACAAGGCGACATCGACGTAGGAAACTCACATCACAGATGGGGGCGGCATGACTCTCCAGTCATTCGGCCAGGACTTCGGCAGAAGGAGGCTTAGCCGTCCACTCCCTTCCCTAACGGTTCAACTCCGCCTTCACGCATTCGCCGAAAAACCTGCGCTACGAGACGGAAAAGAGCCATCAGACAAGGCGGAATGAACGCCGTTAGGGAGCAGCGCGACTAGCCGGCGACGTTGTCCCACCTCAAAACATTGGCCGCCTTCTCCTCGTGCCGCTTGGAGGAGGTCTTGGGGTCGAGGTGGCGGTAGAAGGTCCCGATCTCCTCCTCGTCGGGCAAAAGCAGGTCGCCAGGGCGCACAACAAGCAGGATGCTGCAGTGCCTGCCGGGAAGAGGTCCACCCCTGCCCACACAAGCACGACGGAGACATTCAGGGTTCTGTCCGGGAACAACAAGCAACGCGGTCGGCGAGGATCAAGCCTCACGGGCGTGGAACACTCACCCGGTGCACAGGGGGATGGCGAGGGATTCGAAGCCGAAAGGCCGACCCGAAAACCAGATAGTCCGGCTTCGACGCCATCCTGGCGGCGCGAAGACTCGCACCGCGGATCAGGGCCATCCTGTCGGATTTTCTGAGGCGATCGAGCTCGTACCTGGGACAAGCAGGGGTGAAAAGGCGGGAGCGAAACACTTGCGCGGTGAGCTACAATCCATGCCGGGCGCCGGGGTAAAGTGCCGATAGCAAGACAAGCCGACTCGGACGAGGGTTTCGCACGACGGTGACGTCGCCGGCAGCAGGACAGACGTCACCGACGTAGGGCCCATGGTCGAGGACAAGCAAACTAGTTAATAAGACGACGTAGTGCCACGACGTCCATCGCGGACGGACATCGTCGACCACGCGGGAAGCCGACAAGGCCAGCGTCGACCTAGAAAGGACGCCGACGAAAACGCGCTGAACCCTAAATAAATAACAAGGCGACCTAGGAATGCGCGCTCACGCGAGGCCGAGGTCGAAGCAAGCTTCTGTGAACTCGGCCTTCTTGACGCGAATGACTTTGTAGTCCTTCATCTCGAGCGTCACCATGTACCCAGCGATGCCCATTGGCACCTCGAGGGTGAATTTGGTTGCAGGCAGTACTATCCTACTGGTCGCCATGCTAACACCACGGTATCTCGAAAGGAAAGGGGAGGAGCGCGGAGAGCTGACAGGGAGGTAGACGAAATCGGAAAGCGGAAGTTGGAAAGGAGAAGTGACGGATGGAGTCGGACCCCCCCATCAACATATGGGCGTGGGCCGTCGGTCGCCCAGCTTGCAGCTCGGGGACGAGGCATGTCGTGGCCGGGGGCGAGCCTCCGGCGTCGGCCCGAACCGGGCCTGCCCTCGAGGGCGGGGTTCAGAGGGGGGGAGGTGGGTGGTTTGTGTGGGCCGTGCATGTGGGTGGTTTGTGTGGGCCGTGCATGGTGGCGAGGGCGAGCCACGTGTCCCCTCCCGAGGGGCCAGCGATGTTGATGAGGGTGGGGTCGGGCCCTTTGAATTTCGCATCCAACCCGCCTGCCCGGTGAGGGCAACCCGAGAGGGTTACTAGGGCTTCGCGGGCAACGCGAAGCAAATGTCCGCCTCCGTGAAGGGGTTACTAGGCCCCTCGTCGCTCGCGCGCGAGTTCGCCACCCCTCGGCTGCAACATGGGGTTCTGTAGGAATTCGGGGTGGGGGGCCGGGGCGGGGGGCGTGGGCAGAGCCCCACCCCGCGCCACCCTGGCGGGGGACTCACGTGAGGGAGTTGGCCGCCCTAACGCTCGGTCGACCATCACCCCCCTACGTCGTCCCAAGCAAAACGGGTGCGTCACCCCGAATTCCGATGAGCGATTCAGAATTGCACTATCGAAGCAACAGTACAATGAGCGAAGGCATGAGCGAAGAATATATAGCAAAACTACAGTGATAACGGTAATGCGTGAAAACGGGGTGCGCGACGGGCCTGGTGCCGAGGTTGGGAAATGTCGAGGCGGAGGTACGGAGCGCGGGTTAACAACCGAATCGTGAGGTTGGGTCGCGTCGTGAAAAGTGGCGGGTGTCAAACTATGATGTTGTGTGTATTGTGTAGGCTGTAGTGGGATAGCCCATATAGGGTACAACCCAATCAGGGTTAGCACTTGTACCCACCATTCCCATAGTTCTTCATTCTCGCTTAAACTTCTGATATGGTATCAGAGCAGGTCCTGTTCCAAGACCTTTTTTTTTAAGGGCCCACCGAATAGTTCCCTGCCTGTAGTGCGTGACCCTGTTCGTAGCGCCCTACCCTGCCCGTCGCGCTGCCCCACCAGTCGCGATGCCCTGCCCTGCCCGCACGCCGCCCTGCTGGCTGCCGCGCCGTCCTGCCCTGCCCGCGCGCTGCCCTGCTGGCTGCCGCGCCGTCCTGCCCTGCCCACACGCCACCCTGCTGGCTGCCGCGCCGGCCTGCCCTGCCTGTCGCACCGCCTTGCTGGCCGCGAGCCTGCCTGCCCTGCCCGTCGCGCCGCCCTGCTAGCCGCGCGACGCCCTGCCCTGCCCGTCGCGTCGCCTCTGCCTGCCTGCGCGCCGCCTTCTGCAGCCCGCGCGCCGCCCTGCTGCCCGCGCTCCGCCCTGCCCCTGCCCGTCGCGTCCACCCTGGCAGCCCGGGCGCCGCCCTCTGCAGCCCGTGCGCTGCCCTTACCTTCCCGCGCGCCCTCCCGTGCCCGTGCGCCGCCCTACATGCAGCGCGCCGCCCTGCTCTGGCCGTGCGCCGCCCTTCCCTAACCGTGTGCCGCCCCGACCTACCCTAGTGCCTGCTCGTCGCCCTGCCTTCTCTGCGTGCTGCCGTGCTGGTCGCACGCCTCCTTGCTTTACCCGCTATGACTTCTCTTCGTGGTTGCGGTGGGAGTGGTGGCGGCGGTGGTGGCAGTCGTGGGAGTGGTAGCGGCGGCCGTAGTGGCAGCCTCGGTAGAGCTGTTTGGTGGGGAGTTTCTGGTGGTGGCCAGATGAAGCTCCAGCGGTGTCCGCACGCGACCCTTACGCCCTAACAGCTTCGTCTGTGGTACGCTAGTGGGAGTGGTGGCGGCGGCCGTAGAGGCAGCTGCCGTGGAGCTGTTCAGTGGGGAGTTTCTGGCGGTGGCTAGATGCAGCTGCAGCGGCGTTCGCGTGAGACCCTTACGCCCCAGCAGGTTCGTGAGTGGTACGCTCAGCGTGGGCGTCTCGAATTAATGCTCGTTGCCCGTACGTCATTCGCACAGGTGATCGGGCTGGTCAGACTTGCGGGACGATTGGTCACACAGAGTCTCGCCGCTTGTCCTGTCTGAGCGACGCCTGGTGCGCAGAATTTGGCGACGCGGCTGAGCTCCCCCGCTGCCACGAGAAGCTCTACTACCTCCAGCACCTCCAGCTACAGCACCTCCTGCTCCAGCACCCCTAGCACTAGTAACTCCAGTACCTCCAGCACGAGCAGCTCCAGTACATTCAGTACCTCCAGCTCCAGCAGTACGAGAACCTCCAGCTCCAGTAGTACCAGCACGTCCAGCTCCGTCATCGGGGCTGTCCCATCGGACAGCCCACTCGCGAAGCCGCTCCAGCGAGAAAGTCTCCTGTAGACGTGCACCTGTACCTCCAGCACTAGTGCCTCCAGCACCAGTACCTCCTGAACCTCCAACTCTAGTACCACCAGCACCAACACCTATTGCTCTAGTAGCTCCAGCTCCAGCACGTCCAGCTCTGCCACCGGGGCTGCCCTAGATCCAGCGGATCAACACACTATGGACATCCGCCTTGCTCTGCAAGGGGAAGACCGTGGTGTAGTGGATGTAGTTATCAACAATTAGGAAAAAGTAGCGCTCTCCTCCTTGTACAGTGACACGGGCTGGACCCCAAACGTCCATGTGGAGGGTCTGCAGAGGAGCAGTGGTCGGAGGAAACGAGGAGGAGTGAGGAGCGATGCACTGCCGCCCCTCAACGAAGGGAAGGCATGGCGGCGCAAGTGACCCCAGGAGCAGGGGCAGGGACCTGGGGAGGCCAGACACAAGGAGACGGGACTGCATGCCATGCAGGCGTGGCAAGGAGGGGTGACCAAGACGGTGGTGCCAGAGGAGAGTCTGGTGCGTGAGGAGATGACACGAACAAGACGCAGCTACCTCAACCGACGCAGCTACCTGACCTGACTCAGCCACGTGTGCAGACTCAATGGTCAATGTATAAAGATCAGACCCGGCCCTCCGAGTGAACGTGGCGAGGTGCTCACTAGTGCGTGAGTCCGTACAGATCGCCACGAGCTCTCCCCCAGGCTGGGTAACATTGACAAATTGGTCATGTAGGACAGCTGTAGCAGCCAAGTTCCTAGCGAACAAGGGGAGGTGGAAACATGTGAGGGAACCGGAGGGGATTGCCAGACACGGGAGAATAGTAGAGCTACGTGCAACAACTGGGCCACCAGAGGGGTCGGCCAGAGTGACAGGGATAGGGGCTGTGAGCGGTGTGACTGTGGTGCAGTCGCAGAAGAAACAACGAGATGCGCCTGAGTCGAGTAGGAAAGTGTGCAAGGCCTCTTCAGGCTCTGCATCTGTGCTAGTTGAGTCACACGCACCTAGACTAGTAGCCTCTACACCTCCAGGTGCCTCTACACCCCCAGCACTGGTACCCAAAGCTCCGCCACTGGGGCTGCCCCACCGGACAGCCCACTCACGAAGCTGCTGCAGCGACAGGGTCTTTGGCGGACGCTGCTGCTACTACTGTCCACCCCCAGGACCTTCGCAGCCACCAGCTGCACCACCAGCAGGAGTAGACGTACAGGTACATACATTCGCCGCCTCCACCAGCTGATGTATCTCCCCTAACAACAGACGGCTCTGCCATAGTGGCCGGGTGGTAGGAGAAAGTTAAGAGTAGTGCCTAACCACAACGTCATAGAGAGTGTGGGCCGATGTCACCTGACGAAAGTGGGTCCTCTGCTCGACCGGCAGGTGAGTGCGAACAGCAAGCTCTGCGACAGTGTCGCGCTCCGTCCACTGTGCAGGCAACGCAGTCCGCCCAGTACCGCCTACGCACAGTCTCGCCAGCGTCAGCAGCAAGCTGAGCGGGAGTCGTGGGGGCCTAAACGGACCCCGACGTGTGCTCAAGCAGGGAGACACCATCTCTAAGGAAACGCCGGAGATACCGGTGCAGGGTTTAGGGTGAGCGCAAACAGCAAGCTCTGCAACAGCGTCTCGCTCCGTCCACTATGTGCAGGCAACGCAGTCCGCCCGGTACCGCCGCTGCACGGTCTCACCAGCGTCAGCAGCAAGCTCAGCGGGAGTCGTGGTGGAATGAATTGACCCTGACGTGTGCTCAAGCAGAGAGACACCATCTCTAAGGAAACGCCAGAGATACCGGTGCAGGCCGGCGAGCCAGAACTTGAACATGAAAGGGCGCCCGTCGGCGTCAACTGCTAGGACAGTGAGAGTGGCCATGGCACGCAGTGGCAGTAGTAGTAGGAGTGCACGAGCAGGGCGCACGTGCGCTGGCAGGGCAGGGCAGCTACGTGCAAGGTAGCAGCACGGGGAAGAGCGCACGCGCGTGGGTAAGGCGCTTACGAGGCACGGCACAGGCCGTTGGGCAACAAGGCGCGCTGGGCACTGGGCAGCGGGGCGCGCTGGCGCGGTGGGCATCTGAGGGACGCGCTGGCCCGCTGCACAGCGGGGTGCACGAGGCGTGCGAGGGCGTGCGGGACAGTGCGCACGCTACTGGGCAGTGCAGTAAACGAGCAGGGCAGAAGGAGTGGTGGGCCCTAAACAAAAACGATCCTACGAACCGCTCTGAAACCATGTCAGAATCAACGAGCAAAATGATTGACTAGAAAGGATGAGTACAAGTACTAGGGTTGACCTAAAGTGTTGTACCACTTAGAGTATGCCCCACTACAACCCAATACATACAAATGCAATTTGACACTCTGTTCTAACATTGATAGTATCAAATCGCTTTCTTTCTCCATACATCAATTTGCAGCCAAATTTGTTTGAAACCTTCTCTGTTGATACCCATAATACACTTGTCATCAGTAGCTTCTTAGGCCGACGACAGCGGTGGGAACGTGTCATTGGGTTGGTGCAAGTGGGGTGTACATAGGGACTTGGTTGGACTTGGGCTGGAGAGGCATAGGGCGAGAAGGCAGGCTTCAAGGAGAGAGCAGAGGCTTAGAGTGTGGCATGGTGATCAGTGGGATTGAGCAGTGGGGTAAGAGGGTGGTAATCAGTGGTAAAAAGGGGAGTGAAGCACAAACTGGGAGTCATGTCAGGGATGAGTGGTTTGACTGGGCAGGGGAGGCAGAGGGCGAGCAGGCAGCCTTGCAGAGCGGCATGGTAATCAACAGGCAGGCGGCTTGAGTGAGTGGTGAGAGGAAGAGGGGTGAGGCTGAGGAACGAGTGGGGTTGTCATCTCAGGGACAAGTGGGTTGACTGGGAGGGGGAGGCTGTAGGGCGAGCAGGCAGGCTAGGGCAGAGATGAGAAGCGCAGAGAGTGTTATGTGATGGCGCAAGGCGGATGAGTGAGAGTGGGGGTGTCATCTGAGGGAGGAGTGGTTGGACTGGGCGGGAGAGGCGTAGGGCGAGATGGCAGCCTTGCAGAGCGGCATGAGGGACTGCACCACGTCATCCATGTGCGGCCTGTAGTCTGGGTCGGCCTGCAGGCACACTGCTGCTACAGAGGCCGCCTGGTGAAGGGAGGCAGAGAGGGGATGGGGGCAAGCAAGGAAGGGTGGGGGATGAGGAGGCGGGATGGCAGCCTTGCAGAGCGGCATGAGGGACTGCACCAGATCATCCATGAGGGGCCGGTAGTTTGGGTCTGCCTGCACGCACACTGCTGCCGCTGACGCAGCCTGGTGTGCTGGATGATGTCGAGGGAGAGGAAGGGGATAGTAGTCTGGATCCAACCTCATCCGTCCGTGTGCGAGTCTGGGCATGCCAGGACACACACTGCTGCTATCAATGCAGCCTAGTGAAGGGATGGGCAGGGGGCAAGGAAGGGCGAAGGTGGAGGCATGAGGGACTGCACCACGTGGTCCATGTGCCTCCAGACACATGAGGGACTGAACCACGTGGTCCATGTGCCTCCAGACACATGAGGGACTGAACCACGGGGTCCATGTGCCTCCTACCACATGAGGGACTGAACCATGTGCCTCCAGACACATTAGGGACTGAACCACGTGGTCCATGTGCCTCCAGACACATGAGGGACTGAACCACGTGGTCCATGTGCCTCCAGACACATGAGGGACTGAACCACGGGGTCCATGTGCCTCCTACCACATGAGGGACTGAACCATGTGCCTCCAGACACATTAGGGACTGAACCACGTGGTCCATGTGCGTCCAGACACATGAGGGACTGAACCACGTGGTCCATGCGCCTCCAGACACATGAGGGACTGAACCACGTGGTCCATGTGCGTCCAGACACGCTGCTGCTACCGCGATCGCCTGCTGTGGAAGGGAGCAGCAGGGAGGGAGGAATAGGGGTGCGGCATGAGGGACTGCACCACATGGTTCATGTGCGGCATGAGGGACTGCACCACATGGTCCATGTGCGGCATGAGGGACTGCACCACATGGTCCATGTGCGGCATGAGGGACTGCACCACATGGTCCATGTGCGGCATGAGGGACTGCACCACATGGTCCATGTGCGGCATGAGGGACTGCACCACATGGTCCATGTGCGGCATGAGGGACTGCACCACATGGTCCATGTGTGGCATGAGGGACTGCACCACATGGTCCATGTGCGCCTGTAGTCTGGGTCTGCCTGCACGCACACGCACACCGCTGCCAGTGACTCCGCCTGGACTGTGGGGTGGAATAAGCAGGGCCGGGCGGGTTGAAAGAAATAGACGGTACCAACTCGTGAACGGGGGAAGGTGCAGTCCTATGTGCACCATGCCCTGCACTCCTATGTGCACCATGCCCTGCACTCCTACGTGCACCATGCCCTGCACTCCTATGTGCACCATGCCCTGCACTCCTATGTGCACCATGCCCTGCACTCCTACGTGCACCATGCCCTGCACTCCTATGTGCACCATGCCCTGCACTCCTACGTGCACCATGCCCTGCACTCCTACGTGCACCATGCCCTGCACTCCTATGTGCACCATGCCCTGCACTCCTATGTGCACCATGCCCTGCACTCCTATGTGCACCATGCCCTGCACTCCTATGTGCACCATGCCCTGCACTCCTATGTGCACCATGCCCTGCACTCCTATGTGCACCATGCCCTGCACTCCTATTTGCACCATGCCCTGCACTCCTATGTGCACCATGCCCTGCACTCCTATGTGCACCATGCCCTGCACTCCTATGTGCACCATGCCCTGCACTCCTATGTGCACCATGCCCTGCACTCCTATGTGCACCATGCCCTGCACTCCTATGTGCACCATGCCCTGCACTCCTATGTGCACCATGCCCTGCACTCCTATGTGCACCATGCCCTGCACTCCTATGTGCACCATGCCCTGCACTCCTATGTGCACCATGCCCTGCACTCCTATGTGCACCATGCCCTGCACTCCTATGTGCACCATGCCCTGCACTCCTATGTGCACCATGCCCTGCACTCCTATGTGCACCATGCCCTGCACTCCTATGTGCACCATGCCCTGCACTCCTATGTGCACCATGCTCTGCATATCTCTACGCTTCTTTGCCCCTATGCAACCGCCACAGGCATCAAGTCCCCACCCACCAGCTGCCCACATGCCACCCACCTGCATGAACTCGTGCAGGGGAACAGTCCCATCCAGACGCGGGTCCAGCAGCTCTCCCAGCCTCTCCCGTTGCGTCAGCAGCGGCAGCGCCTGTTGGGGGGAGATGGGCAGGCATGAGGAGGTGGGGAGGCATGAGGAGGTGGGGAGGCACGAGGAGGTGGGGAGGTTGGGTGGTAGAGAGGAGGTGGGGAGGTTGGGTGATAGAGAGGCACGAGGAGGTGGGGAGGTTGGGTGATAAAGAGAGACGAGTCGAAATGAGAAGCAAGGGAGCGAGGTAGTGAGTACTAAATTTTCTTGAGTGAAGGCATCAAGGGCTGAGGACGGCTGGGTGGTAGTGAGACACGGACAAGTCGTGATAACAGCAGCCCTTTCCTCTCTCCCCCAACCTCCCTCTTTGTCACAACGACTCACCCAGGGCGTCAGCCACACCGTGTTCGGACGTTTGAGACGTCTCAAAACTCAACGACTCACCCAGGGCGTCAGCCACACCGTGTTCGGACGTTTGAGACGTCTCAAAACTCAACGACTCACCCAGGGCGTCAGCCACACCACACCCTGTACGGACGCCTGTCGTGGTCCACGGGGACAGGCCCTGTGAGCAGCTCCAGCAGCACCTTCTGCCCCCTCCCATCTCCTTCCCCCCCCCTTCCTCCCCCCTAAAGCATCACATCACAATGACTCACCCAGGAAGTGAGGGAGACTCTATTGGGAGGCCTGTCGTGGTCGATGGGGGTGAGCCCTGTGAGCAGCTCCAGCAGCACGATGCCAAACGAGTACACATCTGACTTGGGGGTCAGGCGACCGGTGGTAACATATCTGATGAGGGTGAGGGCGAGGGAGGGGGGAACAGAGAGGGGCAAAAGGAGCATGGGAGGTCGGACGGCACGAGCCCTGTGAGCAGCTCCAGCAGCACAATGCCAAATGAGTACACGTCTGGCTTGGGGGTCATCAGGTGACCTGTGAGAGTAGTTTACCCTTACAACTCACTCTAGGCACCCCTGTGGTGTGCAACACTCGAATGGACACCCACAGTTTCTTCCCACCAATCCCACCAAGGGTGAGAGGCCAATGTACGTGAGGGTGCTCAGGGTAGATTTCCCTTGGCGGTGCTTAAGGTGATTCACCCTCGATAATCACTCACTCTGGGGACAAGTAACCTGTGGTGCCCAGTACACGTGTCGACACCCAACGCTTCTCCCCACTGGGACCATCCCGAGCCAACCCAAAATCAGCAATGCGCGCATGGAAACTGTGAGGTTCGGGGGAAGAGAACGCACGGAGGAAAGGGTAAGTGGTGCTGTGAGGCTCAGCCCCACTGGGGCCGTCCCGAGCCAGCCCAAAGCCAGCAATGCGTGCAGGGAACCTGATGCAAGGGAAACTGGTGCAAGGGGAGGGTAAAAGCGGGGCGAGAAGGGGAGCGAGAAAGTGAGGACAAAGGGACACGTGGTGACGTGAGTCTCGTCCCCACTGGGGCCGTCCCGAGCCAACCCAACCCTAAATTCCGGTGAATGACTGGCGGGTTGGCGACGTGATGCATGTGGGAACATGAGACGCTGTGGTGCATGTGGGAACATGAGACGCTGTGGTGCATGTGGGAACATGAGACGCTGTGCGGCGTCCAGATAGGAACCACCTGAGCATTTTTGTGCAGCAGCCCAGCCCACTCACTTGTGGCCCACCAGCACGTTGCTGGTACTTAAATCGCGGTAAATGGCAGTGGGGGTGGCGGCGTGGTGCAGGAGCATGAGCCCATCCGGGCAGTGCTTTGAGTCAACTCAAAACACGGCGCGGTGCCTCATGCCCATCCGCACATGAGCCCCCTAGCAGTTGCCACACACCAAGGACTCACCTGTCAACCAGGCACCTCGCACTGCAAGCAGCAGCAGCAGCAGCAGCGGACTCACTCGTGGTCCACCAGAACGTTGCTGCTCTTGAAGTCGCGGTGAATGACAGCGGGGGAGGCGGCGTGGTGCAGGAACATGAGCCCGCGGGCGGCATCCAGAGCGATCTGCATGCGCTGCTGCCACTCCACCTGCGGCCTCTCCCTCCCAAACCGCTGCACGAAGCTTCCTGGAAGGGGGAGAAGGCCCAGAAATATGAGGCAGGAAAAAAAAAGAGGGGGGGGGGGGGGGGGGAATAAAAAATCGGTGGAAAGGGACAAAAGGGAGATGGGAGAGGCGAGTTGCCTCTGTTGAAGGTTTAACGTGGGAGGCGAGAACCACTTGTTATCTCACACTCACCATCACAGTCATTGTGCAAGAGGTTGTACACCAGAAATATATTGCTCTCCAAACCACTCTATAATGCGTGTAACACATCCTATATACCCATAACACATATCATTCCACACTCACCATCACTGCTGTTATCATGCAGCAAGTCGCTCAGGCTCCCATTCGCCATGAGATTGTACACCAGCACCCTATTCCCCCCTGCCATGCAGTAGCCCACCAGATGCACCAGATGCGGCGACCTGAGCCGACTCAGCAGCTCCACCTACAAGGGAAGGGAGATGGGGTGGATGGGAAGGAGGGGAAGGAAGAGAAGGAGGAGAGGGAGGAGAGACATGAGATTGTACACCAGCACCCTGCTCCCCCCTCCCATGCAGTAGCCCACCAGATGCACCAGATGCGGCGACCTGAGCCGACTCAATCAACAGCTGCACGTGCTGCAAGGCCAAGGGACGGGGAATGGGGGATAAGGTTGCATGTTCGGGAGTGGTAGACAATGGCATGACCTGTGTGCCTCATCTGTGCCTCATCTGTGCCTCATCTGTGCCTCATCTGTGCCTCATCTGTGCCTCATCTGTGCCTGAAACTCCTGATCGCAATCCAGGCCTTAAGCCCAAAATCCTGGACCAAGCCCCAAACTCAGGCATATCGTCTCACCTCTGCCTGGAACTCTCACCTCTGCCTGAAACTCTCACCTCTGCCTGAAACTCTCACCTCTGCCTGGAACTCTCACCTCTGCCTGGAACTCTCGGTCGCCCTGACTGCTCCCCGCTTCCAGCACCTTCACCGCCACGCCAGCCCCCGCCAGCCTTCCGCAGTACACGCGCCCAAACCCGCCCGACCCAATCACGTTCGCCTCTGCCAGGTTGTCCGTTGCTCCCTGGAGGGAAAGAACGAAGGGGGCGGGGGAAGGGGGAGGGAGGACAACTATGGTTGACCCCCTCCAGCCTGCCACAGTAAATGCGTCCAAACCCGCCCGACCCAATCACTGCGACTCGTGATAAGCCGTCCCTCGACATTCAATGAACCACTCAGCAACTCACAAGTCTAACCTGCGCCATATGCCGTCCCTTGGCGACTTGTAACTCCCTGCACCAGAGCACTCACCAGGACATCTTGTAACGACCCAGCAGACCACTCACCAGGACATCTTGTACCGACCCACCAGACCACTCACCAGACGACCCACCAGAGCCTCACCAGGACATCTTCATACGTCAACTCCATCACCGTGTTGCTCAGGCTGCGCCCGGGCAGCATCAGCCTATACTCCGCCATATTGCGCCCCGACTTTAAAGACCCCACAGAGGCCCCAGGCGTCTGCGCGCTGCTATTGCTACTATGAGCCGCATATCCTCCCCCAGCTCCTCCGCTTCCCCCTTCCCCTCCCCCGATTCCGCCCCCCGCTTCCGCGGCTATAGCTGCTGCTAGCCCCGGGCCTGCCACGTGGCTCATCGGTTGGCTCGGCGTCTGGCTCGGAGTGCGGCTCGGAAACTGGCTCGACATGTTGCTGCCAGGCTCGGCAGCCGATGCGTACGCCGAGGCTGGTGCGTACGGTGACGCCGCGCCGCCTTCCACGGTAACGCTTTGCACGCCGCTGTGCGCGGCGCTGTTCACGCCGCTATGCACGGCGCTGACTGCGGCGCCCCAGCCGCTGTGGTTCGACGCCCCGCTGTGCGGAATCATGGCGGAGGGGTCGTGCGGGGGAAGGAGATTCGCGCCATGGTCGTGAGCGGGAACCGCGGCGGACGGAGCGGCAGGGGCGTGAGCTTGTTGCTGATAGGCAGATACTGTGCCTGTCAGGGTGGGGATAGAAGGGAGAGGAAAGGGTGGGGAAGGGGGGGGGGGAGGAAGGGGGGAAGGGGAAAGTGTGGGCAGAAAAAGGCGCAGGCGGAAGTGGGAAGGAGGGGGGAGACGAAAGGATGGGGGAGACGGATGAAGGGGAGAATGAGACACGGGGCTGGAGAGTAACCGCCTACTTGAAAGCGCAAGCTGTAGGAGCCCAAAATACAACAATGAAGCACAACCAGAAAAAGGACAGAATAGACCAGAAGCAGTATGAGTCAGCCCGTAATACACAATAGACCGGAATCAAAGGAAAAAAACAATTAAAAAACCAAAAACAAAAACAAAACAAAAAAAAGTACTCACCAAGATCAGCCACCTTTCCAGTCCCTGGCCATAGCCTTCCAAACACTCCACCACCTCCCCTCTTCCCCGCTTTTCCCGCCGCATATCCCGCCGCGGCAACCGCGCCAGATGTCCCGTAATCCTCCCCCCGCCCGTCCGCGCCCGCCGCGACGTCTTTAATCGGCGCAAAGTCCTTGGTCTCCGCGCGGCGGCGCCGCAGGTAGATGTAGAGCAGCACGAGCGCGACGCCCAACAGGAACGCGACAACCACGCCCGCCGCTATGCCCACGTATAGCGCAATGCTATTGGTGGACGGCGACTCGGCAGGGGCAGGAGGAGGGGAAGAAGAGGAGGTAGAGGCGAGAGAGGAATCGTCCAACGACGCTGTGCTGTTGTCACTGCTGCTGCTGCCGCTGCTGCTGTCACTGCTGTTGCTGCTGCCGCTGCTGCTGTCACTGCTGTTGCTGCTGCCGCTGCTGCTGTCACTGCTATCGCGGCTCGTGGACCCCGCATTGTCCGCCGGAACTTCTATAGCCGGCGTCTTCGTTTCGCCGGCTGCTGAATGCGGCGGAGAGGCAGTCTCGTCGGAAGGCGCAGGCACGGATTTAGGCGGTAGCGACGGGGAGCGGGTTGTACTGGGGACGGGGTTATTATCGGGGAAGTCGGCTGTAGGCGGCTCTAGAGGAACAGCGGGAAGACGCACTTTATCCGGACTGCTTTTTGGCGGAATCGTTCCAACTGGCGGCTTGACGGCAGGCGGCTTGACGGCAGGCGGCTTGACGGCAGGCGGCTTGACGGCAGGCGGCTTGGTTGCCGGCAATGGCTTGACGGTTGGCGGTTTGGCAGCCGGCAAAGGCTTTGTCGTAGGGGGCTCAGCAGCAGGCGGCTCAGCAGTAGAATTCCCCCTTTTGCCTGCCTTCCCTCGACCCTTCTTTCCGCGTCCCTTCCTTCCCGAGCCCTTCTTTCTTCCTGTCTTAACCAGCCCCGGAATTTTCGGGCCCGGGGCGTCTGGCTCCGGTATTATCGAGATGGGGTCTGACGTCAGCGGGGGGGGCGCGCCAGCGGTAAGGTTCGTGGAAGGTGCGACCTCGAACGGGTTTCCCGAAACGTCTAGTGACTCTAACGCGGTCAGGCGGCTGAGCGACGCGGGAAGCAGCCCCGTGAAATTGTTGTTTCGCAAATTGCTTTGGGATTCGGGGGGACGCGGCAATGACGTAAGAGGATGAGTCGAAAGAAAAATAAAAATAAAAAAAGACGACGAGCCAACCAGAACCTGAACAGAAAGGACATTTTATCCTCAATGTACAATAACAAAGGAGTGTAGTTATGTCATCTAGACTTACAGTTTCGTGAGCTCCACGAGGTCGCCGATCGCCTCCGGGATCTCCCCTCCCAGATTGCAGTTGGGCAGCTCTCTGCAGAAAAGAGTGTGGGGGGTAGAAGGGGGAAAGGGGAGGGGAGTAGTGGGAGAGGTGGGGAGATGGTGGGGTTTGTGGGGAGAGGGCCAAGGGGAAGAGTGCGAGGGGAGGAGACGGGGTGAGGAGGGGGGCGGTTGGAGAAGAGAGAGAAGGGGGGAGATCAGGAGGTTATGCAAGCTGGTGAAACGGTCAGACTGCTAGTCATTTCGCGGAAACGTTTTCTCAAAGATAGCACTCTGATTACACAGCATATGCCGCGATAAGGCCTTGCAGCGGCTTTGCCGTGGGGACGATGGCCCGTCGGCGATATGTCTGCGATAACGAGCCGCAGTGGTCGCCGAACCAACTCTTGCACGACTCCAACTCTTGCACGACTCGAACTTCGACTCCCCGCAAGTCGACCTGCTAGTCGATTAAAACTGTCTACACCTAAACGGAACTGTACCGAAGCAACTTACATCGAGACAACGGCCCATCGATGTTTCGACCGCGTCGACTCCCCGCAGTTCACGCCGAACCACTCCTTCTTGCACGGCTCGAAGCCCTCCCAGTCCGCCAAAGCCGAAGCGTTGCTCACAGAGAGCTTGAACACCTGCAGCGCGGACACTGGTGGTTGGAGTGAGGAAGTGGGTGGGTGAGAAGAAATTAGCAATCATACAAGAAAAACGGAAAGTGGGTTCAGAATTGTGGTTTGACACAAGCCCTCCAGGCCGATGCGTTGCTCCCGCAGAGCTTACACACCTGCAGCGGCGACATTGGTGATTGGAGTGAGTGGGAGATAGAGGGCTACGGGAAAACCGAGGTGTGGGAACGTGGGGTGGAAAGCATATAGCAGGGCCTCTGCCAGTCCGTCACCACCGATGCGTCATTCATGGGTAATTTGAACGGCTGCAGTGCGTATGCTGGTCGACCAATGTCGGCGTGCGGGGAAAGAGGGGATGGGAAGAAGGGGGAGACGGGGAGGGGGAGGGGGAGAGGGAGGCCTGGGGGAGAGGGAGGCCTGGGGGAGAGGGAGGCCTGGGGGAGAGGGAGGCCTGGTGGAGTAGACTCGATTCCAAAATTTCGAAGTGCATGCGCCAGTTGATTGTGATTTCGTGAATGCGTCGGCTGCATACGTGCCAGTATTTTCTTTCTGTTGCATTGGCGGCAAAGCGATTTCTGAATGAACACACGAGCGTGGTGTGGTGTCTTGGCACACGGGCCGGGCTGTGCAGCAGCCAGATCAGATGCGCGCGTTGCAACACACGGATTATAACGGACTACAGCGATATCAACCAAAGGACGAGCTGAATGTCAACCAGAGGACGAGCTGAATGTCAACCAGAGGACGAGCTGAATGTCGACTAGAGAAACCTACCGTCTCCCATGACGGTCTTGGCGTGAGCTCTTGAACTCCAATGCGACGCTGCGACCAGCAGCAGCAGCAGCCACATCTGCGCTCCTCGTTCCAGATCCATCACCCTTCTCCGTTGCCCCGTCGCGAGGTTATGTGTTAGCCTCCCCGGCAAGGACACCACCCTTCTCCGACAATATGAGTTTTGAGACGACTCGATCACACAGCGTTAACTACTCCCCACGCCTCCACTCTATCCCGAGGCGCTCGGCAGCCTTTTAAGGCCTGATACGTCTTCGACAGTCCGCTTGCCTACTCTATACCAGGTCCTCGTAACACCCCTACTAGCATGCGTCTGACAGAGTTCGTAAGGACAGGGTTGCCTTATTGTAGGCCTTGAGAATCCTGACGAGGGCGAGTCGAATTGAGAAAACACCTAAAAATAGCTTGTGCTGGAAAATCTGGGTTCACCAAGTGAAGTCGCTATGCGAGTCGTATGTCAGATGACGAAGCACACAACTGAAAGCCGAAGTTTCTTTGTCGACTCAAAAATCAACCAGAAAGTCTAAGCCTGAGTTGTGGGATAACAAAAAATGGCGGACTCGCTAACGAGAGGAGACTTCAGCCAATCCAGACTTACCTGACGACAATCATGGCCTAGACCATGCCGTGCTGAGGACTATGTAGAGCATGAGTAGGGCTTTACCATGCCCAGCCGAGGGCTGTTGGCACGAGGGCTGGAGGAGGATTGTTGGCGAACCCAACGTGACGAGTCGCGAGCGAGCAATGGGGACAAGCAGAGTCAGGTCGGGTTGGGGATGGCTGGACGTGAATCTGCTGACGGTCGAGATGAGAGTTGACATTAAAAATGCGTGTCAGATTGAAAATGCGTGTCAGACGGAGGAGCACGAAGAGTGAAGCTGTTGGCCTGTTGTCAGTTGCTTTGAGCAGCTAACATCAGGCATTGAGCTTATAGTACACTTAGGTGGTGCCTTGCAAAGAGGTAAGAATCTACATATTTATTTGCACTTATAATCACATTATGCAATATTACTGAAACATATACTAGTATGTCCTATGTAAACGGTCAGCTGATTCTCCCGTTATTATCTAAGCTGCTACTGTTGAGATATGACGTTTTATGAGTTCGCATTCCTGTATGGGGGCCAACCAGGGCTGATTTTATCAGGGTAATTACCCTGATTCCAGGGTGATTTCAGGCTTTCCACTTCGTGGAGACTGAAATTTCAGAGTTATTGAATTTTCAGCCTTGATCCAATCAGAGTAATAGTTTAGCTATCCTTGATTTTGAGTACAGTGTAATAGACTAGGCTGTTAGCGGACCCTGACTTAACAGAGTATCAACTCTATGGACCCTGACTTATCGAAAAGAAGTTTCTCGGAAGTTTCCTTCCGATGACCCCGCCTTGGATTGATCACAGTGATCCCTCCACATGTGCGTAATCCCCCCCCCCCCCCCCGTCCATCCGCTTTATCGAGACGAAGTTTCTTGGAAACTTCGTTCTGATACACCTACCATCAAGATCGCGCGAATCTGCAATGCCAGATATACTTTGCTGGGATTGGTCGAAATAGGATCTGACAGCGGAAATATTTGACTCGAACAGGTGTGACTCGCCCGTTCGGTCGGTACACGCTCCAGGATGCACGCATCTGAGGGTGACTAACTACAGGATGCAGCGTGTCTGATGCGTGTCGTCTGGAATGTTCAGCATTCAAGCACTACATGCCAGATGAAGAGATCCGATTGGGTATGGTAATAAGACAGGGAAATGTTACACTCGCACACCAGATAGGTCAATCACAACCGCCCTGCACAAATCAGTCGAGTGTACAGCCAGCGGGAAAAACATCGCGCAGACTTTATGGAGAGTGGGGATTTTTTTCCCCGGTAACAAAGCGTGCGTTACTACTCTGATGTTCAGTTCTTGACCCTGAACAATCAGAGTTAACTACTTCGCAACCCTGAGCAATCAGGGTACTGCTTTTCTGGAAAATGTGCACCCATAATAGAGGGATAATTTTTTCCCCGGAATCAGGGAGGCCTACGGTAAAATGAAACGCCAGCCCTGGGGCCGACTCTACCGAGTACAAAGCTGAAGAGTCAGAACAGTCGAGGCGACATCGGCATCCGTCAGACCAAGACGGATGGAGACAGAAACATTTGAAGTGAAAAAGGCGGGAACAGTTTTGAAGCGGGTTCCCGCGATGTTTGAATTTGCTGTAGGAATGTACCATTCAGAGTACATGGCTAGTCTATGTCGTTTCGTATTCCTTTGTACATCCTATATAAATACGATGTATATCAGACAGGCCTCTGGATAGGATTTGGGGTACTCTTTCGCGTAAGGCCAACACCCAGCTTTTACTCTTTCAGTAAGGGTGCTTAAAAGAAACTGCTCTTTAAAATCAGGATTAAAACCCATTTTATATTATATTAACCCTCATACTAGACAGGATGTTGGTGTTGCTCGTTGAGTCGTCGAATACTTGTGGAGGACCGAAGTTCGATACTCAGCGCGAGCGTCCAACTAAAATAACATGTTTTACACGACCAATCCTGGTATCCTCTCTTAGATCGAACTCAATTTCATAAGTGCTACTACACCACATAGCTCTGAATTATCAGTGTCGTATAATCGATCACTCTTTTTTGTAAGGGTCTAAAACAAAACCAGTCTTGTAAAAAAGGGTGCTTAGTCAAACCCGCCCTTATAGTAAGGGTCATACGGGTGAATCACCCTGATATCGAGAGGCCTGATGTCAGAATAACTGTGCAGGAATGAATGAACAATGAATGAGTTGGGTACAAGTACGAACCCTAAAGTGCCGTACCTCTTGTAAGCTAACCCACTATAGCCTAGAGAAAACACAAACATACAGTTTGACACACCCCCATAGGCTAGGTGGGAGAGAGCAAACACAGCAGACGGTCACAAGACCTGTCAAGCAAGAGAACAAGCAATGCAAAGCTCAGGATGGATCTCAAGGACACCACACAATATGAGCATAAGCAAGTGGCCATGATGTCAGTTCACATGAAGAGTTATAATAGCAAGGCAGTACACTAATTACAACCTAGCAAGAGTAAACAGGCAGGTACAAAGATATATAGCAGTGTACAACAAGGACAAGTCAAGCAACCAGCAGGTGAGACTAGGCACTAGCCCAAGAGCAGTGCATCAACGCTGATGATCACCAGACCCAAGGGCCTTGGTGAACACATCAGCAGTGTTGGCCAGAGAGGCCATGTAAGCAAGGCGCAGCTGACCACGCTGCTGCAGCTCCCTAGCAAGAAAGTAACGAAGAGCAATGTGCTTCGTTCTGTGCTCCAGTCTCTGCTCGCGACACAAGGCAAGCATTGCCTTGTTGTCAACGTACAAAACTGGAGGAGAACGAGGCCGCTCCCCCAAGTCGGTCAGCATGTAGGTCAGCCAACGTAGCTGTCGTACAACCATGGCCTCAGCGTAGATCTCGGCCTCACAGCTGGAACCAAGCACAGAAGAAGAACACGTGGACCTCCACGAGACAGATCCAGAGCCAAGATTGAAGGTGTAACCCTATGACGAACGCTGAGTCGCCTGCTCGTTGGCCCAAGAAGCGTCGGAGTGTCCTATGATTACCACTGAACCCTGTCCTCCAAGCACGAGCCCCATGCCCGATGTACTGCACAAGTAACGCAGTACCCTCTTCGCAACATCCCAGTGCACCTTTCGGTGTCTACCGGGAGCCAGATAACGAGCCAGGAGGCTGAGAGGGTACGAGAGGTCAGGTCGTGTGCTTGTCATCAGGTATATGAGGCAACCCACAAGCTCTGGGTACGGACCATTCGGCTCTACGGACCCGTCCGAAGGTGGAGCTGAGAGCGAGTGACCGGTAGACAAGGGAGTGAGCTATGGCGAGGAGAACTGGAAGCCAAAGCGCCGGAGGACCTAGTGCACCATGTGTGACTGAGTCAGGGTGATGGTGCGCCGTGCTCTGTCCCGGGTGATCTGCAAGCCAAGATAGATCCGCAGCTCACCCAGGTCAGTGGAGGTATGTCTCTCCTGCAGCTGCGCCTTCACTAGGGCCAGCGCCTCAGTGTCAGCAGTAGCTAAGACCAAGTTGTCGACGTACACAAGAAAGTAGAATGGCGGCAGGGTAGTGTCTGTGCGTAGAAACAACGACGCGTCAGTAGAGGAAGGAGCAAACCCAAGAGCTGCAAGTGTCGTCCTCAGTGTGTCGTGCCACTATCGGGGCGCCTAGCGGAGACCGTGGAATGGCCGCCGGAGGCTCCACTGGGTACGTGCAGGAAATGACCCAGTGAAGCCAGGTGGGCGGCGCAGCCAGATCTGCTCGTGAAGGCTACACTGGAAGAAAGCTGTCGAGAATTCGAGGGAGTGCAGCTCGTAGTCACGGTGTGCTGCAACGTGCAGCAACACCCGAAGAGTAGTCATCTTCGGGGGGGGGGTGGGAGGGGGGAGAAGTTCTGGAAGAAGTCGACCCCCTGTCGCTGACTGAAGCCTCGAGCAACGTAACGCACCTTGAAGGCAGGCGGAGAACCCGGCGGCCGCTTCACCTTGAAAATCCACATGCCACTGACGATGTCCGCCCCATGAGGGGGAACCTCGTCAACGTAGGTGCATGTGGACTTCCAGGATGCCATCTCTGCGTCCATGGCTGCCTGCCACTGAGAGGAGTACTCACCTGAGATTGTCTCTCTGTAAGAGCGCGGGGTGGGGATGTCAAGTGCATCCGGGTCTCCCTAAGGGCAAAGCAGCATGGATGCGGAACGATGTAAAGTGGCCGCAAGACACTCAAGCTCAAACTGCCTGTTCTCAACGACGTCACTGCTAAGGGCAGGCTCACCCCCAACGGACGGAGGACAGACTGACTCATACTCAATAACAAGACTCGCGACGTAGTCGAGACGACTCCTAGCTGCAAAGTCGACTAGCTCAGTGACTAGGGCAAACGCATCAGTAGACTCAAAGTTAGGGTCAGTGACAATAGTAGCGAGGAGACGAGTGACAG